AATTTTTGATTCTCAAAGTTCCCAATTTTGGAAACCAAGTGGCGTTAATGGGAGGGTAGTACTCAGTGACATTGAAAGACCGTATGCTGGGAGTTTTTTGGTGTGAGAAAAACGTGTACTTCCAAGGAACGAGTTCTCCTATTAATCATAGTGGGAGACGGTTACTGAGCGAGATAGCTCTTCCGCTCCTTGATACCATAGGATATTTGCATGAAAGTGTTCCTGGTTGGTGAGCTCCTCCCAACATGGGCCACATCTGCCTGGGCATAGGGGCAGTCCATGTGGTAGGATTGTAAACATGACCCCATGCATGGACAGGGGTATGATACCTGTTCAGAAACAGAGAGGAGGCACTGCTCTGCTCCCTTTTGAGGAGGCTGCTAGCAAGGGACATGGGAGATATTTTGGAGGAGTGTTGTACGGGAGGAATATGGGCTAACTGGAGAGAGGTTGAAATCCTGGGTAAACAGATGCAGATGCTTTTCCTTCAAGTGATGCAGATGGGGATAACTATCAGGCGCAACTAAACCAGGTCACAGCTGAAGCAGTGATGTGGGTCTGACCTGCGGCTTGGATCAAAAAAGATCTCTGGAGGGTGTGCAATTCTCTTTTAAAGGTTACATTCCCCTCTAAAGGTTACGTTTGCAAATGAAAAGCAAGACATTTGCAGGGTGATGACTTAAATGCTACATGCTACGTCAAGCAAACAGAAAAGGTCTGAGAATGCTTATCGGTACCAGGAGTTATTTAAACACTTAGAAAATAACACAGCACAGGACTAATTTAAGAGAGTACAGTTAGCATATAAGCACCAATCTCTTCAGAAAGAGCTCATAGTTTCTTATGAATTTTCTGTGTTTTCCTATTTCCCAGAATATTTAACATACTTGACTATTATTGTTAGCCAAGTGCTGGTTTCAGCTGCTGCTTAAATCATCTGAAATTGTTCAGATGAAAGAGTCCTCACTGGTAAAGATACTTTTCCCCTCTCTCTTTTTGATGTGGTTAATTCTGCAGCACTCTTTCATGACAGTTTATTCATTGCCTGTTTACAGTAAAGAGGGATAAAATTATTTAAAAAATAAATATACCCTATGACAAAAAGATCAAAAAGTATAAACCCTGAAGGCCAATGCCTGCAGTGAATGCTGGGGCTGGTCTCCTGGCTGCTCTGTGCAGGCTGGCTGCTTGCCTGGGCATGGCTCCAGCACTCCCAGGCACAGCCACCCACCACCACAACTGGAGCTGAGCTCCTCACCTACCTTTTTAGCTTTCGCTCTGCTCCTTGCAGGGTAGGTGCCCTTCCCAGGGGAGGGACTCTACAAGGTGAGAAGCACATCTCTCGTCCTACCTAGCACTGCTGATGACCTGGTTCTTGGGAAAACTGGTGTGTTGTCTCAGGGAGAGAGGTGTAATCCCAATGCAGCTTATAGGTGTTAGAAGTCCAGGGCTTGGTCTCTGAAATCGACAACTGAAAGTGAAGGCGAGTGGATTTTAAGTGATCTGCAATGGTTTTATTTATGGATTTTATGTCCCTGTAAGCATCATTTCATTTTGATGTTGCTTTAATGGATCCATTATTAGATGCACTTTTAAATTTTGTTCTGACGCTGATTTATTGCTATATGCAATATTGCTCTTACTTCCTTCCTCATTCTGTCCTAAGCTGTTTTAGCTTATGAGGGAGAGTCCTCTCTCATGACCATCTTCTTTAGGAGCAATCACAAGCATCAAAGGACATTCTGCTCTCTGTCCCCATGTGTCGCCTGGTCTAGTCAAGAGGTGGCATCCCTGCCCATGACAGGGAAGTTGGATTAAATGATCTCTAAGGTCCCTTCCAGCCTAGGCCATTCTATGATTCTATGACTCAGGCAATTCTGTGTAGGGCTCTTAAACCTGGTCCTATATGAGGCCCTCTCTGCTCATCCATCCATCAGCCTGATATTTCCCTCCAAGGTTTTGATCTTTCAAGGAACCAAGCTGCTTGTGAGGTGCTGAGTGATCTTAACCTTCACTGTGAGACGACTCACTCTGCAGACCACAGGTTCAGATCTCTCTGTTATTCCTGGGGACTGCTGGGAGAGAGCCGAGGGCTGCTCTCTGCCTCTCTGGGAGACGGAGTCCTCAGGGTTACTCTACAAGCATCTGCTGGAAGCAGAAAATAATCGTGTGAAGGTTCACGTCAAACAGTGTTCAAAAGTGAACCACAGATGCAGTTTGAGGTTGATCTCTGTCACACTCCATCTCCGCAAACGTCTGGGAAAAGGCAGTGGCTCACAGTCAGCTCTGAAGTCACTGGTAGGAAAGAGCATGAAGTAACAGAGCATTCTGTAAAACAGCCCATGTCATGGGGCTCTGAGCCCTCCTCAGAGCTGTCACCCACACAGGAGAGCATGTACTCTTTTCTGCTGGCACTGGTCTGACCAAAAACCCACAGAATGTGGCAAGAGAATGAAAGATCTGTGCTGTTCTTGGAAGGCTGTTGATGCGTGGTGTGAAAGCTCAACTAAGCAGCAACATTCAGTACCTGAAGGTCTCAGCTGCACCTGAAATTCAGGCCAAGCTGGCCAGAGGAACCATGCCAGAGAGCCAAAGACCAGGCAATGAATATGATCCATGCATATAGAAGTCTAGCAACTGACCAGATGGTCCTCATGGTGCATACATGGCACTGCCAGTGTGTCCAGCATGGGTCCTGCCTGGGGGAGCTGTACCAGACCTGTGTCCTGTGAGGTATCTAGCTGCATGCAGCTCAGGCTAAATCAGAGAGGTTTCCTTGAGCTCATGTGAAACCACTCTTCCTTCTTGCCCACTCTGCCTGTCCCTTCATATGATTATTCCCTTTTCTGTTACACTCCATCAGCACACTTTTGAAGCCAATATTTTATTATAGCTGTTTTTTAGCACTCTGGTAAGCTGTATTGCCCTCTATGGGTGGCTGCAGATGGTCCTCTGAGAGCCACAACCTCTACTGTCCGCACAGTCAATGGCATTGCCTTCTGAAATATTCTTTTAATGGTCATTCTCATGAGAAAACTGCTTTACAAAACTACATCTTTTGATACTATTTGTCAGAGCTGTCACAGTTTCAAGAATCCAGAGGTTAAGCAGCGTTTGAAGTCTGAAAGTTCTGCTCCGTGTTCAGGCTATTTTAGGAAAGCATTGCAACAGCCCTCGAATATGACAGCTGAGAGCAGGTTTTATTCCTCAGAGTAAGCTGAGGTTTCTGCAGCTTCTGCTCAAGATTTACAGAAGTGGAAGCCAGATGCTGATTGTCTGTCTTGGCTGAAAGGTGGCCAGTCAGGCTCCCCTGAGTAATGGGGGTTGACATCAAAATCACTACTTTGTTTAAAGTCAGTGGAGGTGGGACATCTGCCAGGTTGGGGACCTGTGAGGTTACTAGACAAGCTTTTCTTCACAATTGTGAGAGCTGGAAACTGCAGTTCTCCACCACAAAATTCCAGGACCTGTGTCTTCAAGAAAACCAAAAAGCCACAAACAACCCCAAAAACTTGGACTTCAGTAAAGTCATAACCAGCAACAATGATACTGTTGTATTTACTGTCAGTGACAATGCTAATAGTACACTTGGAACCAAAACTGAGGAATTTCATTTTAAAAAGCAAAGAATAGCTTGTAGAAACGAGTGTGAATTGCACCTGTGTGTAGTTTGGAATATGGGAAATGGTTTCTTATTTAGGTACATAAATAAACATTTAAGAGAATTTAGATTTTTGAGTCCAAATTTGGGTTCAGTGAAATCCAAGTCTGGGTGCCCTCTTTATCTCTTGCGTAGGCACCTCTGAAATGCCAGGTCCAATCAATACTCACTGAGCATTACAGCATGCAGTTGGGATAAGATGAAGCTCAGGATCATGGCACTAAATGTTAGAGTTTGGAGAATTGTGAGTGGCAGAAGAGGCTATTAATCCTGTCTCTAACCCACCCTGTGGCCACCTTATCCAAGAACAGTGTCTGAGCACTAGCGTTGTGATCTGTGTGCCGGTGAGCACAAATGTGACACCCTGTGTGTGCTTCAGCAGTCATCACTTTGTCAGCGGTGAAAGGATTTCTTAAAGCTCGTGCCTGAAACCAAAACGGTCTCTCTAGGATAAATGGTGGCAGCTGCTGATGTCTGTGGCTTCCTTTGGTCCGAAAGGCATGTGATTCCTAAGCTAACCTCAGGTATGGATCGAAACTTCCTGACTCTCAGAAGATCTGCAGAAGTTGGCAGGCAGCAGTTGGTATTTCTTTATTCTCAAAGAACCCCTAAAGTAATTTCCAGTTACATACTGTAAGGATAGCTACATTTTTTAAAGTTTCATTTTAGTTTTAATTCCTAGTCTCTTTGTCTTTTTGCCTCTTACCTACTTCCCTCTTCCCTTCACTTCTGCCTGTTCCCATCCTTGTTAATGAATTATTCAGATATGCACTAATGTAATATTGCATTAGGGAGTTATGACTACTGCAGTATAAGGAATAGAAAAGTCTGGGCAAAGGTGCACCAAGAAAATACATACTCAATATGTCTGAAATTGATCTGAGATCCATTTTCAGCTTTCTCAGAGACCACTTGTTTTAGCTTTTATCTAGAAGGCACTAAGAAAAATAATTAAACCATTTTGATCATCTGATATTTTCATTGACTATGGCTGTGCACCCTTATTCTGCAGTAAGCAAAGTCATGATGGCTTTGCCTTGGCAACATGTTTAACAGCATTGTGTTTGATTTGCAGAAGAGCAATTTGCTTTCCATAGCTGTACAACTGATGTATGAAACAGAGCATCCTTTCGGCAAGGAGAAACTCTCCCTCTATCTTCATGACAAGTTGAAGAGTATTTGCTATGGTTGCTCTTTGCGGCCCACTGGTGCTTGCTGTTTAACAAGAATATTTGAACTTCCCCCTCCCACATGGACCTATGCAGTTTCTATAGTGTGTTGCCCTGAGGATGATGAGTGACTCACCTGGGGTGTTTATGCCTCTCCCTTCTTCCTGCAGTATAACCTTGTGTGCGGCAATGCCTGGATGCTGGATCTCTCGCAGGCTATCCTCAATCTGGGATTCTTGGCTGGCGCCTTCATCCTGGGCTATGCTGCAGACAGGTACTGTATAAGCGCTGCTGCCTTTTGATTTGTTTGGAGGTAAAATCACTTGTAACATTGCCTGCAACAAGCATGCATCAACACTTTGAAGGTTTAGTTCACTCTGGATAAAAACCGCCAGCCTGTGTAATCTGTGCTTCCCTTTGGGCTGGCAACTTTATGCCATTGTACTTACTGATCCTGTCTGGACTTCAAATTGCCATCAAAAGAGCTTTTCTTGTGGTTTCCAATGTTTTCTTGCACACATCTGGATCCAGGAAGGACAGAAGGACACAGAAGTAAAAAGGAAGCATTCAGAGGAGTTTTCTGGACAGATGTTCACTGGAGGATATTTAATAGGCACCATTGATGAAGAAAGCAGCTGCTTGACGAGAGAAGGAAGGTACTCAGTATGGCAACTCTCTTAATTCACAGGCGGGTGTCATACGCTTCCCACTGAGGTTATAGCTCCCTCTGGGCAGTCCTCAACTCTGTTAGAGATGGATGAATACCAAGGAAAAGATGCAGGTGATGTTCAGGCTTGAGCAGCCAACCTGCCCTGGAGCAGGTTGGATTTATGACTTATGCTGGACACACCTATTTAATAATGATGTTCCTTGATGGAAAATGAGACTCATGAATATGTTAGGTAGACTTTGAAAAGAATCAGTCTAAAGCTAAACAAAACACTGGAAAATCACATGAAGTACTTAAAAAAGAAATTAATTGCTTTCACAGAGCTGTCTGTAATTATACTTAGGAGACTAATCTGTGGAAACACAAACCTACAACAAAATTTACTCTTATTTCAACTGGACCTAAAATCTGAACTGTAACACATGTGCCATAGTTGAGATACAAAAAGACAAACTGTTTTCTAAAATAGGAGGCCTGGTGAGGACATCACCAGTTAAAATTAGTGACATAAATGCAGTGGTAACTACTACATTAGTGAAAAGAGTTCTATCTCTCAAGGGCCAACAGTACAAAGTTGCACACAGCCTGCCTCTGGAACAAAGCCTGTCTGACAAAGGTGCATTCATATCTAGCATTAATATGAGATACCAGGAAAAAATATCTTTGCTTCTTTTAATGATTTTCACTTTGTTTTCCTTTTTCAACAGATATGGCAGAATCCTCATCTACCTGCTCTCCTGTCTCGGGGTTGGGATATGCGGTATCATAGTGGCATTTGCACCAAACTTCACTGTATTTTTGATCTTCCGTTTTCTTCAAGGCATGTTTGGCAAGGGAACCTGGCTGACATGCTATGTGATTGGTGAGACCTGTTATCTTCTTTTTCTTCTGGTTAGGAAAATGAGGGATTTTTAGAGGATAAAGATGTCTGACTACATCTGCTCTTGATAATATTTTTTTTTGAGAATGAAGCACTGGCCCTGGTTTGGGCAGACAATGAATACTCAAGTCCATCCTAGTTAATGCATTTGTCCTCCAAGACAAGGTATCTGCATTCAAATTGTAACTTGGCATCATCTGGCCTGAAAACATCTGAGAAAGTAGTCACTGTAGTCACCTTTGTCCAGACCATGCCAAGGACTTTTTTAGCAGCTGAATAGTGTAGTTTTTCCTTACCTGGCAGTGTCTGCTCGTTTCCTGGTACAGAGGTGGCCTCTGAGCATGGCAGCAAGTGCAAAATTTTTCTGATATTCAGTACTGGTACTGGATGGAATGGAGCAGCAGCATACATGTCTGCCTGACCTCATAGGATCCCATGAAGAAAAGCAAGGAAGAAATAATGCACAAGGGCAGACTAACAAGAGTGACGTGTTCAAGCTCTGCTTTAGTACTCATCACTGTGACACCCGAATATGGCTGTGAGCAGCTGGCTATAGGTGATGCAGTAGCAATTCAAGACTTCCTGTTGATGTTATTTGAGAACTCCTATGGCTGCCTAATCTATGGACTCTGGTGGGGAGGCATTAACACAAATAATTAAGATGTGAAGGAGCTGAGTGCGTGTATATAAAGGTTTTCTTTTTACATAGAAGATCACCAAGATGATAAAAATCTACAGAGCAAGCCCAAATAAACCAGATACACAAACAGGGACTTGGTTACTTTTGGCAGAGTCTGAGCATCTTCCACAGATGCTCAGAGGAGTTAACTGCTTTTCCTCACTGGGAGGACAGATGCTTGGATGGCTGCTCTTCATGTTTTAGTTGGGAGGTTTTACTAAGTGCCACCAGGGTCCATATTAGGATTATTATTTCCTGAAAAGGGAGAAGGAAGGGAAGCTTTTTTATAGATAACATTAAAACAGCAGGGATCCAGACTCTTTGATAGGTTGTAGTCATAGCCCAGCAATGAAGCTCCTGATATAGCAATCTTGCTTTTCATGAGAAAAGTGTGTTGTTGTGGCATCTTGAATTACTGCCAGGTTCAGAATTTATACCATTACTTTAGTCTGTGAGGCTGGTGACAATTTTTTAAAATTCCTAGTGGAATTCAGATGAGTGAGAACAGAATTGCAACCAGATGCAGTTACAGTGAGACCTGGAAACACTGTGGTGATATATGTGAAAACATACATGTCTAGCCCTTTTGCTTCTAAACCACCTCAGTTTTCTGAGCCAAGTTGCTGTGCAGCTCAGGTCCCAGATCCAGTGAAAGGGCCAGAAGCTGCTTTTCCCCCTCACATTCCAAGTATTTAGCCTAACTGAGATCTTATCCTAAAACTTTGGCAAATTGTTTTATGGCACACCTCATTAAAATGGCCAAGTTTTAACAGAGAGGAATGTTTTATGATGCTCAGATCAGACTGCCTTACTTTAGGAAAAGGTTCAGAGATACGGCATCCAGAGACACAGAATATTACTGCAGCCCTAACCAAGGTGCTTAGTTCTTGGAGGGTGATTCCTTCTAAATCCCTTCAGCATTCTACTCTTATGTCCCCAGGATGACCCAGAGTATTTACCAGTCTAAGATTTTTCAAGATGCATATACAGATCTTTGCTTTAGTTGCACCAAATACATCTCCTAAGCTACAGATCACTGTGCTACAGAAACACACTAGGCCGCCCAAAGAACCTCTCTTTGCCTTTACTTAAAAACCTGTTCTTCCCATGCCAGGGCTGAGCAGCTACCTTCAGGGAGTAGAGTTGTCCCTGAGCCATGCAGACATGATGAATAGTCAATAAAAATAGTAATGATGTCATATCTCTGCATTGCCAGCCAAAATTAATCACTGTTACTTGTAAAATTCTATCTCATTTAGTAAATTTTTTCAAAGTATTTTCTGCCCATTGTAAACCAAGGTAATCCCCTCTGCTTTTACTCTTAAAGCTAGGTAATTGTTACGCTTTGAAACAAGCAAGAGACAGTTCCTTATGCATTGCTTATCTCAAGAATGGATCTTGTGGCTGTAGGATACTGCCTGAAATATGGGCTTACGTGGGTATCAGAAGTGATTAGATACACTCACAAAATAAAAAAATCCACCAAAGGATTAAAAAATCCCAACAACTAATTAGACTATGTTCTAATAAATAAACCAAACTGTGGACCATACCTCAGCCCTCTGAGCAACTAGCATGATATGGCTAATTTCTCTTCCCCAGAGATACCTTGTCCATATTACCTGCTGGGAGGAGCCCCTGCCTGGAGGATCCTCTAGTCTAGAGGCACGGACCAAAACTGTGACAGGGAGAGTGCTATCCATCTACCACTAAGCATGATCATGATACAACCTCAAACTCCTGTTCTGGCCTTACTTAATTTATTAGTAAACATGCAGTCAGAAACTCCTCTAGCTGAGGAATTGTGGGTGAATTCCTGAGAAGTTGTCACACATGCTTGTCCTGGACAGTCTTGGTGACATACTTACACTGCTGAAGGCAAGATGCTAGCCTAGACAGACTTGTAACTTGGTACAGTACTATCCTTCTTCATGTTCCACTACTAATATTTTTCTTTTGAGTCAGGTTTGTGTCTGTGTTGTTTATTTTGGCTTTCTCTCTTCTCAGTGACAGAGATTGTTGGTTCTGACCAGCGTATTGTTGGGATTGTGATTCAGATATTCTTCACCCTGGGAATTATGATTCTCCCTGGAATTGCATATTTGGCTCCCACATGGCAGGGGATCCAGCTGGCCATTTCACTGCCCAACTTCCTCTTCCTGCTCTACTACTGGTAACGTTGCGGTCATTACTTTTGTCATCACTGCTATTACTATTCATAGAATGGCCTAGGCTGGAAGGGACCTTAGAGATCATCTAGTCCAACCTCGCTGTCATGGGCAGGGACGCCTCTCAACTAGATCAGGCTACTCAAGGCTCTGTCCAACTTGGCCTTGAACACCTCCAGGGAGGGAGCAGCCACCTCCAGGGAGGGGGCAGCCACAACATCTCTGGGCAATTTATTCCAAAGTCTTGCCACCCTCGTACTGAAAAATTTCTTCCTAAGGTCTAATCTAAATCTATTCTTCTTCAACTTAAACCCATTTCCCCTTGTCCTACCAGCGGATGCTCTTGTAAAAAGTCCTTCCTCAGCCTTCCTGTAGGTTCCCTTCAGGTATTGGAAGACAGCTATTAAGTCCTCATGAATCCTTCTCTTTTCAAGACTGAGTAATCCCAGCTCCCGCAGCCCGTCCACGTAGCAGAGGTGCTCCAGCCCCTGGATCATCCTTGTGGCCCTCCTCTGAACATGCTCCAACAGATCTGTCTTTCTTATGGTGCGGACACCAGAACTGGACGCAGTATTCAAGGTGGGGTCTCACAACAGCAGAGTAAAGGGGGAGAATCACCTCTCTTGAGCTGCTGGCTAAGCTTCTCTTGATACATCTCAGGATGCAGTTG